CCGTGGGTTCCCCCCCCCCCCCCCCCCCCAACTGCAAGGGTTAAACACTCATAAGTCTAGGGGTACCTTACTCCTCGCTCTGAAAGACTTTGGCGCTCTCCTTTTCACCCTGACGCTCTGGTTTGTGGGCGGCACATCACCGCGCTGATGTCCCATGAACAGCCATTGGCCATGATGAGCATGATGTCAGCATGCAACCGCCGGTTGGAGTGTCTTATAGGTTTAGGGGGACCAGTCGCCCAGATGGTATGATATGAGACACATTGGGGCTTATTCACTAAAGGGTAAGGAGTTTGGAGAAGTGAACAATCTAAGTGAGGGGTGGGCAACCTTGGCTCTCCAGCTGTGCTGAAACTACAAATCCCATCATGCTTCTGCCTCTGGGAGTCATGCCTGTAGCTTGCAATGCCTTATGGGATTTGTAGTTTCAGCACAGGTTGGGAGCCGAGGTTGCCTACCCCTGATCTAGTAGAACATAGCTGAACTGGAACGTGAGCTGAATTTGAGAATGTTGTCCTAGATCGTTGACTTCTCCTGCCTTCCCCAAACTATTCACTGTTAGTGAATAACCCCCCCAATGTATTTTCAGCACCCCTGTAACATCACCATACAAATCCATCTGCCAGCGGAGGTGAACAGCAGGCACCCTGTGGTGCCATATCCTATCCTTAGCACCCCTGGTCAGCTCCCCTGTGCACTGCCATGCTTCCCAAAGATGATATGCAAATGACGACTTTTTGAAAAGTCAAGCACTGCATGGTGGGGGGCGGGGCATGGCATCCCCCAAAGCTGAGTTATTTATAAAGGCTATGACAAGTCTGCCATAGCAAGGAGGGGACACTACACTGGTAAAATATGGCAGACGGGGTGGGGGCGCTTATGCAGCTTTGTATGTGTGACGTCTACACATGAGAAAAATAAAAGCCACGACCGTCGTCAAATTTCCGCCTCATACCAAGCGGATAGTGACCACAGAACCCCAGCACCGTCTACATCCATCTACCACCAAGCTGCTAATCTTCCACCGCAAGCCACACACAGGTGCAATTTCTACAACCAATCTGGGCGATGCCAGCAATTTACAGGCTGTGTATGAATTGCAAATCACATACCCATCTGTGTGATCTCAGAGACCCCAGAAAATCTCCTCCACCAATAAGATCACATGCAATGTCTTCCTTCTATATAGAACATACAAAGACCAAATATAAAGAAGTGACAGCTGTCAATCACAATGAGAGGCACATCGGTCAGGTTGGGTGAGCCAAGATCTGCCTATGGTTAGCCCAATCCTGCCATATGCCATAAACAGAAGATGACAGTCCATACTGGGATTTGTAGTTCCACCATGCTGGGGCTTGTAGTTCCACAGCAGCACACAGGTGGTTGATCACTGCACCCTGTATAAGCACAGAACAGCCCCCCATATACTCACCTGTACGTGGTCCTAATGATGACAGGGATGCTCAGTGTGCACTATCCGGCTCCGCGGTACACCAAGTGTCTACTGCAGCTGCAATATAATCCTTATAACCACGCCATCCTCAGCACTGCCCCACCGCGCCACCAACAGGTACCCGCCTGACTGACAGCCCCTCTCCGCCAATAGGCGAGCGCACCGGGACCGCACGAACTCCTAGCCCCGCCCACCGGCACCTTACGCCGGCCAATCGCAGCCAGCCGCCGGCTGCACGCTACGGGATGGTGTGAGAAAGTGACGTGCGGTGGCCAGAGACTGACGGCCAATGAGAGACTGCGAAGTAGAACGGCCAGCCAATGACAACGCACGTGCGACTCCTGGCGAGGTATCTGCAAGAGCTGCTGCCCATAGCGTGTGTGTGAGTGAGGCGGTTGCCGAGCAACCACTGGGCGGGGGCGGCTCACTGGTGTCTCCTGTTTCACTTATAGCAGAAAGCTAATGACTACAAAATAAAGTGTAATACGAGAAAATGTCATCTGTGCCGCTGCCGCAGTGTGTGACAATGGGGGGACAGCACGGACAGCTCTGAGGCTAGAGAAGACATTGTAAAAGCTGCTGTTAGCAGTACATGTAGTAGGCACAACTTGTTTTATATGCGGCCGATCCTTGTTGGTGACTCTGTCCTGTGGGTGCATGTACGAAAATAAATAAAATAGATGAAATGTTCACCCATAATGGGAAAAAATGACTACATGACTGCTACAGCATTGATCACATGACCATAAGCCTAGGCATACAACATGTGATCTCTACTGGGTGATCGTCCTGTCAGCAGAGATCACCTGACTAAAAGCCTGGTTCCCTGTCATGTGATCTAGCACCGAAGGGAGCCCGGGATACCAGTTTCTCCAGGAAAACTATTTACAAGCTTAGTCCAACCCTTTGGGATCACAAGGGGGGTGCGGCCCGTACTGGGTGACACCAGAGGGGGTGACACCAAAACGACTGACTAGGTGCATCCCTAGTCAGTATATCCAAAGTGTTCTGTTCTCTCTGCTGCCAATCGCTGAGACAAGGTGGGGGCAGAGACAAGGGGGTGCTGCAGCTGCAGGAGAAGTGTGATGGCCACATGAAATGGCCTGGCAGGCCAGATTCGTCCTGTGGGCCTTTGTTTGACACATGTGGTATAAATATAGTATCACCTGTCCATGTGTCCCAAATCCTGAGCTGCTGAAGAAGCCATTTTTGCCACACCCTGATGCTGTCAAAGGCTGGCCTGTCTCCCCCTGTATGTTTCTGTTGCCCATCATAGTGATGCATCAATAAGAGTGCAGCAGTCAGGAATATAATGTAGAGTGTGATTTACATATTCCTGTCCATAATATTTTGTATACTATGTTGTAGGTTACATACCCCTGACTGACGTACTCAGTATGCCGTGCTGTATGGTACCTACTCCTGACCGCTGTACTCAGTATGCTGTACTGTATGGTACATACTTATGGCCACTGCATTTTGTACATGAAATACCCTGATTCCTGCACTCTTTACACTGGGCTGTAAATACACCTATCCCATGCACACTATATGCTGGACTGTACGTTACATACTCTCGACCCCTGTGCATTATATATACCCCTGACCCTTGCATTTTGTGCATTATATATACTAGGGATGCACCTATACCGTTTTTTCCGGTTATGAGTACGTGTACCGATATTTTTTTCTCAGTGTTCACCGATACCGAAAACCCCATTAAGGAAGCCAGGCCTGACCCCTGCATTCTGTGCATTATATATACCCCTGCATTCGGTGCATTATATATACCCCTGACCCCTGCATTCTGTGCATTATATATACCCATGACCCCTGAATTCTGTGCATTATATATACCCCTGACCCCTGCATTCTGTGCTTTATATATATTCCTGATCCCTGCATTCTGTGCATTATATATACCCCTGAATTCTGTGCATTATATATATCCCTGACCCCTGCATTCTGTTCTTTATATATATTCCTGACCCCTGCATTCTGTGCATTATATATACCCCTGAATTCTCTGCAATATATATACCCCTGCATTCTGTGCATTATATATACCCCTGACCCCTGCATTCTGTGCATTATATATACCCCTGACCCCTGCATTCTGTTCATTATATATACCCCTGACCCCTGCATTCTGTGCATTATATATACCCCTGCATTCTGTGCATTATATATACCCCTGACCCCTGCATTCTGTGCATTATATATACCCCTGACCCCTGCATTCTGTTCTTTATATATATTCCTGACCCCTGCATTCTGTGCATTATATATACCCCTGACCCCTGCATTCTGTGCATTATATATACCCCTGACCCCTGCATTCTGTGCATTATATATACCCCTGACCCCTCCATTCTGTGCATTATATATACCCCTGACCCCTGCATTCTGTGCATTATATATCTTAGACCCCTACATTCTGTGCATTATATATATCCTTGACCCCTGCACTCTGTGCGTTACATACTCCAGACTCCTACGCTATATAAACTTTGTTGTACATTACATACACCTGACCTTTACACTATGTATGTATATACTCCTGACCCCTGCACTCTCTTTTCTATATTGTAATTTCATAATCCTGACCAAACTACTAATGTTCTCAATAGTTGCTGTTTGCTAAGCAGTCCCTGACTGTGTCCCTGTGTGCAGTAAAGCATATGTAATGGAAGAGTTTTGTTTTTTAAAATGATTGTGCTAAGATAAGATTAAAGTAATATTAAAGTCAAAAGGTTTTTAAGCTATTTTAAATGCTGATGAGATCACTTACAATGGATGTTGCTTCTTGATGTTTAAAAGTTGTTTCTTGCAGACTCAGCTGGTCCCCTGAGCACTGGCCCTGATATCCTGTTTTAGGATGGCTCCTTTCCCTTGCAGGGTCCTATGGAGCCACTCTTGTGTGTGCTAGTGAGCTGTGTGTGTCTCCATAAACACAGGAACAGCAAGGCAAGGCACTCCCCTGCTCCCCACTCCTTGCTCCCTTCTCCAAGCAAGTGGATGGGCAGCTGCTGGAGACTACTCTGTCACTTGTGGTCTTGTACTGGACATGAATTTCAGGGAAGCTGAGCGGAGAGAGTTGGGGCTGTTTGGAAACATGATGACTGTAAGTGCTTGGGCAAAAAAATTAGGAAGTATTTTGCTGTACAATGGATAATTGTTGGATCTGGGTACAATACTAATAAACGAGTGAGTGTTTAATACTGCTTTAACATTATGTCTGTGAGACTCACATGTGGCGCAATCATTAAAGCATATTATGTGGGTGGTAAATGTGTCATATATACAATGAGTAGGCTCAGGTTTTATTTAACCATACCCCTTTAAGCCCCTCCCACTGTTAGCACAGTAAGGACACACCCGCCATTTGCATCGGCACACATACTGATTCAGATAGAAGTTTGTCTATACTTACAGCTCCCAAGTTATACATTTTTAGGAGACAAAATTTATTTACAACTGAAATAAAATCTTTTTAAACATTCCTATGTGTCCAATTTAAACACTTTAAAAAAAATGAACAAATATAAAAATACATTTTCTTAATAAAATACATTTGTTGAAAAAATAAGATGATAATTAGGGGTAAAAATAAAGATATTTATTTTATAAAAAAACTTTCATGTTAGCTGCAGCTAAATCCTGTGCACACTCGCAGTAGGGTGCACCCACCAGCTACAGCTAACTGCAGTGGTTTGAAATGCCTTATGGGATTTGTAGTTTCAGCACAGCTGGAGAGCCGAGGTCGCCTACCCCTGATCTAGAGGGAGGACGACTGGACGCCGTACGAGGGGATTTAGTGCTATTTGAAGTCCAGCCGTCCTTCCCCCCATCTCTCCTAACAAACTCCGTACCTCCGTACAAGCTATGACAGTTTGAAAATGTGCAGAACCCTGAGCTCTGCAGCCTTGATCGAGTGATCACAATTTTAATGGTTTCCAGGCTTGAATGCAAATATTAAAGACATGCATTTTTTAAAATATATTATTAATTATGTATTTCTGGTGAACTTATCCTTTAAAGTAGCCCTGTCATTAGACCAAAAACTACAGGCAGTCTGTTAAAAAGTCTGCTAAAAAAGATTGATTTGTTTATAAAGATTGTTTATAAACAATTTGCCCTGCGAAAATATGTGAACGTTCATTTTGGCTGAATATAATTAATATATTTTTCTCAGTTCAAATGTACTGTAGTGTTGTGATCATACATTATGGCAACTAGATGGGTTTTCACAGTTCGAATGCAGTTTAGTGTTGTGATAATGCATTATGGCCACTAGATGGCGATGAGGAGCACGGTAAAGTATTTATTTCCTATGTTCCTCAATTCCATCTAATGGCCATAATGTATTATTACAGCAACAACAAACTACATTCAAACTGATTATTTCCTATGCTCCTCCATGCGCAATGTAGGGGCCATAATGTGTTATTGCAACACCAAACTAAAAATGTAAAACATTTTAGTGCCGCACTCTCCTTAAATGGTGTGCTAATGATATGTGATCAGAGAAAATTCAAATATGACAATGTGCCAACTGTAGAATTAAACACAGCATGTATAATGTGTCAATAAACACCAAGGTTTATGTTCAGCAAACTATGTATTGACTGACTATGAATTACACTTATACAATTGACTCCAAATAAAGAGTGAGATCAATAAACAATCAACAATAAGATTCCCAATTCCAATGTGAAATCAAAAACACGAGTACCGATATTTTCCCCCCCGGTACTAGCCAATATCGAGTACCGATGCCGTGATTATCAGGAAGTCAGGTGGCAGATCATGACCCCTCGCCCGGCTTCCTGATTGCCTGTGAAGCCGGTGTTCTAGCGAAAGAACACCGGCTTCACTTGCTGAGGCTGCCTGGCTTCCTGACCAATCAGGAAGCCGGGCAGGCTTGCCCGTCATGAGGTGCCGCTTGGCTTCCTGATTGGTCAGGAAGCCAGGCTGCCTAGCAACAACTGAAGCGGGCTTCCTGGCCGATCAGGAAACCGGGCGGCAGGTCTTCACCTGCCTCCTGGCTTCCTGATTGGCTAGGAAGTTGGCTTCACTTGTTGCTAGGCAGTGTGGCTTCCTGACCAATCAGGAAGCCGGGAAGCGAGTCA